TACAACCTTTCAAGACTTCGGGCTCTTGATGCCTCACAAATTTTCACTCCAAATTTTCTTAGGAATTTGGTGACCTTACAAGTGTATAGGGTTCACTCCCTTAACTACTCAAGAAATCAAAGGAAGGTGTTTAACAATGGCTAAGTACTCTCAAAGTACAAATAACACAAGTTGAAGAACAATGATTGTTGACACTCTCACAAGAATAAAGCTCAAAGTGAATTTATGATCAAGAAGACAAGAATAATGCAAATAGAATGAGAATTAATGAGTAATAATGACCAAGAAGTGTGTCACATCAAGGGGAACAATATTCTCTATTTATAGAGGGCCCCTATGGCCTTTTTCACACTCATTTTTGCAAACTAGCCGTTTTATAGCCATTATTTTGTCTTCTACACAGTAGGTAATCGATTACCATTGAGTGGGTAATCGATTACCATTGTTGGGTAATCGATTACCAACCTGTTGAAAGGTTGGATTTCACCCTAAAATGGTTTTCTCTTGATTCACATCAGTTTCAAATATTGTTTAAACATTTTATGAACATTGAAAACTATATTTTCATGCTAGGAATGTATTTGAATGTCAAACGATGATTTAATGCATGTATTTGAAAAATACTTTGAGCTTCGTTCACGTAAGGAATCAATTACCTTTTCAAATGATCCTAAGTCCTATACTATATTACTTGGAGATTGCTTGGACTTAGAGACTTATCTTGAAGCTTGAGTCTTGATCTTGTTTAGATTTCTTTTTTATGGTTGCACCTTGAAGCTTTCTTTCCATGCTTTGTTTGTTATCATCAAAATCGTTGAACCTTTATATTTTTTACGTAGAGTGCATGGGTTCCACATCATTCATAACCTTGAACATTAATTGACATTAGGATCCTAAGACTTAAGTTCACAACTTAAGACAATTCCAAGAATCACAATCCAATTCTCTAATATTATTCACTTTTAAGCCTTTCTAACTAAATTAATTAAACTCTAAGCCACTAACTCAAAGATCAACCAAATCAAGGTCGTATTACCTTACTTGGCCGTGGCATATACTAAGGTCTCACATAATGGAAAACCAACTCACACTTTAATCCACAAGTGGAATTAATCATTAATTACACAATCAAACCCTAATTCATCATCCTTTACCATTTTGCAACCTAACACCCTAATTTAATGGACATGGCCGAAATGTACATAGGGGTATTCCTTGTGATTTTTCATCATTTAATTATACAATTAAGTGGTTTTCATCTCACCTTAAGCTTAAGTTAGCAATTGACCCCTTAATTAGGTTTAATTAGCAAATCCTAATTAGGTTTAGTTGGAAACCCTAAGTGAACATAAATTTAGGGTTTTTCATTTATTTATATCCCTTATATAATTCCACATCATCACTTATGCATTAGTTCATTTACTTCACTAATTACATGATTAGTGGTTCTAAACCCTAATTAGGTTAAATTTTAGGATTTAACAGTTAATTAATCAATTATGCTTAATCCTCCTCACTTGGTCCCTCCATTAGTGTCCTAATTAAGTCTTAGAATCATTTTTAAAATATCAAACCGAAGGATACATCATATGGTCGAAATGCATAGTGATCGAATTTAGGGTTTTTACATATTTTTCTACACACTTTCTTTATTTAATTAAATCCCTCTAGCCATTTGTCCACAAAGGTATCATCTTTATAATTTTTAACCAAACCCTAATATTAGTGAAGAGGGAAGAATTATAGCACGGTGTTTTTAGGGTTCTAAGTTCATCCACATCAAGAACAACTCACACATCCACCAAAGGTAACACTTTTAGTTATTATCATCAAGACTTCATTTTTAAGAAAATACAGCATCATTATCATCATAAACTCATTATGGCCGAAATTAAAAATGGAGGAAAGGAGGGTTTTTGCTCATTTTTTCATGGATTCAAGTCTTACTTCTCCAAGATGGCTCCTTTAGTTCAAGCTCCAACCTTTACTTACCAAGAATGCTTCTTTTTCACCAAGAACACACCTTCATGAAATATTCAAGAATTTAGAACCAAGAACATAAATTTAAAAGAGTAAATGTAGAGTTTTTTAAGAAGAAAATGCAAGGAACTTACACTAGAAACTCATAGAATGACCAAAGGAAGTGTGTTCTTCAAAAAAAAGCTTCAACCACCATTTTTTGCCATAAGAGGAAAGAATATGCAGCTGCTGTTTAGAGGAAGTGCAGCCACGAAAATGAAGGTCCAAGGGTCAAGAACACAAGTTTTCACAAGTTCAAGAGCTAAGGAACAAGATTGGTGAAGGGTGTTTTGAATTTTAATGAAATTTAAGTGGTGGAATCTTAGAGAGAATGTGGAGAAAATTTGAAAACTCAAACTTAGAGAGAAAGGGTGGCTGTTGGGAGCTGATGGGCTGTAAGAAAGAGAATCTCCTTATATTTTTAGGGTTTTGCTATGTCATTAAGTGGCTTTCTGTCATTTAGTAACACTTGGTGTAATTTCTCTTTGAACTGTTATTAAATTTTTACTCAGAAACCCCCAAGATCCCAACTTTAAGTAATTAATATTAAGTTTGTTTAATTAACATGTATTAACTCAAAAATCTAGTTAGTATATTACATATACGCTTATTGTTGTTTAACTACACTGTAGTCCTTACGAGTATTGTTAATTGTACCCGGACTTCATAACTTTTTTAACTTTACATCATTGGTCTAATTATGACTTGTTTGGCATCTATTGGACTTATATTCCCTATTCTCATCTTTTTCTCATTTCAGAACTATACCGGCTGCTGTCATAGTAGTACAAAATACCCGATAATAGTGATTTTATCAAAATACCTCTATGGGTATCAGGATTTACTGAATCAAATCCTCTTATTATTTATGATAATTATATCCTTAGAATAGTCCTCTAACTTAAATCCACTGATTAGGATTAATCAGATACCTGTGACTGCCTCATCAGTACAAATTATTAGGTAAAAACTCAATTTCTCAGAATTCCCATAATATGGGTGTCAATCTTTACAGAATTGAATTCTAAACTTATCTATGATACTAGTAACATTAGAATAAATCTCTAACTCAGATTCACCTAGTTAGGGTTATTCTACTATCTGTTGCTGCATCAGCAGTTAAAAATAACAGGCAGAAACTCACCTGTTTAGAATACCCTCAATATGAATATCAAAATTCATTTAATTTCTTCCTCATCTCATTAATATGACCATTAGATCCTCATAATAACTCTCTAATTTTGAGTTATCCACATTAGGGTTATTATATTGTGCAACATAAGTTTATTGCCTTAATTTTGACCTTGTGGTCGTTTGTTGTAGTCCTAAAAATAACCTCTTTGTTCCTGTGGGACATCTGATGCTGCTCGGAAGAACCCACAATGGAAGGTTTGTACATTAGAATGCCTTTTTAGTTCTGCTCATTCATTTATAATGACTGAATTCATATTATGCACCATAAAAAGGATATATATTTTATCCAATTTAGTTCACCAAAATTTATCCAACAATGTCAGACACAAACACCTCATTTTTATATTTGTTCATTGATATCATTTGATTATGATTGAGCTCATCTGGTTTTCTGCTTACTCATACTGTAATTCTGTCACGTTTACAAGATGTGGGCTATGTGACAATATGAGTGGTGCAATTAGAATTTTTCTAATTTATCTAATTATGATTTTAGATTGATTTGTCTTGGGGTGTTGCACAAGCCACAATTAAGATCGACTAGCTCACAACATTTTCTAGTCATTCCAACTTTGGTTAATACCAAAGCGTCTTGCACAGTGAAGTAAAGGAGATAATCTCACTCGGAACATCAAACACATATAACAACAATCAGGTTTGGTTGGTCTTACTGTTGAGAAATTCCTATTTACATCTTGTTTAAGTCTTTGATTGTTGCATGAGTTTAAATTCAAATAAATCGTTGTGTTTTATGTGACAAAATTCATGGTATCTCGAAGTCTAATTATTGTATATTACACACGAGTAGTTAATCCTATAACTAAAAAAAAATTCTTTCTCTTTTCCCCTCAATCTTTCTTCTCTTATTTATTTGTTCATGTATTTTTTTAATCTCTATTTTTTTCTTCTATGTATCTTTATTTTTTACTTATAATGTTTATATATATATATATATATATATATATATATATATATATATATATATATAATTTTTATCCTTTTTTATTTCTTTGTATTTTTCTTTGGATTCGTCTCTTACGTTTGAGATAAATATATTCTTGATGTTGATGTTGATTTAATGAAAAGTGGAATCGAATGGGAAAGAATGAAATAAAATTTTATCGTATTATTATTTAAATAGTTAATAAATGAAATGAAGGAAAAAATTTATTTCATTGTTTGGGAAGTGAACGTAATGATAAGAATTTTAATAAACAATATTCCATACTATGGAAAGGATTAAAGAAGAGGTATTGGAATATATTTTATAAGTTCTATGTGTATTTTAAATAATTCGAGCTTTATTTCTTTTCACTTTATTCTTGTCTACTAATCTAAACATAGTTTTAGCAGCATATATGCTTTAAAGTAATTTAAAGAGTCTTGCTTGATAATAAATATTGGATCCCTAAACTAGTTTGAGATAAATAGTTTTACATGATTCTAGGGACATATATAACAATTATTTGACATTAGTTCTAGTTTACAATAAAATTAGCGTTTGACTGAAGGACAAAAAAAAGTATTGACACACATTCTTTACCACCTTGAAAATAGTTTAGAACAAGAAGATATCCTAGAAGAATATAGCCAAACTTTTTTTTTTTTTTTGTATATCAATATAGCCAAACTTCTACTCATCCTAAAAGTATATTATTTATGTTTTATATGGACCACTACAAGAAAACCGCAATATAGAGTCGGTGTCTTGGTGTCCGTTTTAAAAACCGACCTTAAAAATCTCTCTCTCTCTCGACGCTAAGTATTCCTTCCGCGTATCTCATTTTTACTTTTATTTTCCTTTTTCACAACACAATTTCATTTTTTTTTTCTCTCTATTTCTGAACGGCCACTTTTTATTTCTCTTCCTCTCCTTCTCCTCCCTTACCCTAACCCTAATCCTACCTTTTTCCCCTATCAATTCCAAATCTTCAATTTCCATTCCACAATGATTCCCCAATTTCAAACTCAAACTCCTTCACCGGAACCTCCCCGTCGCTCCTCCGAATCTCATTCAACCAAAACCATGGCGGCGGCTTCCGCGTCTACAGCTGCGACCCCTTTCGGGAGCCACTGCTACTTCGCTGGCGGCGGAATCGGTCAGGTCGAGATGCTCTTCCACGACAACATAATGGCGCTCGTCGGTGGCTGATCTTTACCTCAGTTCCCTCCAAACAAGGTCATGGTCTGGGATGACCACCAGGGAAGGTGCTCGGCGAGCTCTCATTCTGAACCGTCCTTCGCGGTGTTCATCTCTGCCGGGACCGGTGCGTTTATTGTTTTAAGGTTTAAAAAGTGAAGTATTAAATTTCCTTTCGTGGTATTAAACTAATATAAAATAAAATAGAATTATAAGTTTAGGATTTCGCCCCAGAAACCCTAGGTTTGGATCTTGCTTCGGAGTTGAAATTCGGAGTTTTTCCCCCCGCATTAGGTTTTCGCAATTATATGTTAAACCCCATGTGGATAGCTTGCATTTGATATTGAGCTGAGAATTTTAGACGATTAAGCTGGTGGGTTGTCTTCAAGTTTGTCTCTTGCATCCGAAGAAGTTTCATTTGGTGCCCTAGTTGGTTTAGAGGGTAATATGAGCTACTAGGTATTTCATTTTGAGTTGGGAGGGAACATGTTACAAATAAAGGGGCTTTTTTATTTTTATCTTTTAACTGTTGTCTATCATTTTTGGATTGTATTTGTGGATCCAAAGTGATTTGATTAAATTTTGCAACTTTCTGTTGTCTCTTGTAATTTGCTAGGTGGGCCATCTGCTAGGTACACTGGAAGATCTGATTCATCTCCTTTGCCATTTGCTTACAATAGGTGTTGTTGCTATTTGAGCAGGAAGTCTCTCGCTTGATTTGTGTAATCAGCTTCTTGTTAATGCAAGGTAAGGATGCGTACTATAGACCCACACAATGAGTTTCACCCTTTACTGGACCCCTTGCATTGCCAGAGTTTTATAGTATCAGGTTGTCTTTTTTTTTAATTGATTTATGACATTGGTGTTGTCGTGTTGGCGGTAGTATAGCAGAGAAGATGCTTTTGAGGTATATATTTAAAATTTTATAACTGTTTGGTTATGTTTGCCTTTTTTAGAAGTTAATGGTTTTATATGGGGGTATGAATTGTCAACTTCGGTTTCTGATTATAACTATCTAGTTGTTTAAATTTTCTTTCCTCCAGCAGCCGGACTGGGTTTTATATTGTGAAAACTGGACTCAGTGTGGACTAGAGTATAGGATTTTGTATTCTTTTATTTTCCTAAATATATCTTATGTCTAGCATTCCAAAAGTAGTCTGTAGACTAAAGTTTGATATCACGATTTATTTGGGGCACTGTATATTTTTAATTGCTATCCATTTGTATCCTTACAAGTCAGAATATAAGAATCAGCCTTGCATGTTTGGGGTCCACCAATGGGTCTAAATTTGGGATATATAGTTTTTGGTGTATTAGGATTTCAGTGCATATCCTTTTGTGGTTGAAGGAAGTCCAATAATGCTTAGCCATATGCGCTAATCCTTTTTTCAATTATACATCCTGTTTCCTTCACTTTTTTTTTAAACGATATGAGTCATGTGATAATACTATTTAATATTTTTTGGTTTTCTTTCTTCAAGTGTTGATGAGTTGAAGAATAAGTAAGGATTGTGGTGAGAGAACTTGTTTTAGTTAATTTTTTATTGGTGGGGTTGAATGGTTTTGATGTCGTCTTGTATCTATTATTTTTGCTAAATTGAGATTTCTTACTTTCAAAGTTTTTGCTGAACCTGATACTTATTGTAACTTCCCCCCTTTTACTCAAATAAGATATGCTTTATATACATGTTTTGGCATCATACTCTGCGAGGAGATATTGAACTTTTAACAACATCTTATTCATCTTGTCTTGATCAGGAAAAAGAAACAATTTATTTATTCAATGCCAACTACCTTGCTATGTTTCTGTCTAACTCTTTCGGGGTTTATTCTAGGCAAGTTTATGGTGGAACCCACAGGTATTTGTTATGGCTTTTTTTTGCTTCTAGTTTCTGGTTGCTACTTACAAGACTTCAATGCTCATCTACATTTTAATATTAGTGTAAGAGAATGTCAGCTGCATGCATTGCGATGGTAACAACTGTATGATTTGCCTCTATTTATGTCTGTTGTCATCAATGTTGTTTGTAGGCAAAAATAAGATCCAAAATACAACTATTTGGGATGATCTGGAATCTCTTGTTTATGTGCTCATGTACTTCTTAAGAGGAAGGTTGGATACTTGATAGACACATTTACTTTACCCCCTACTAAATTTGGATATCTTACAATATATATATATATATATTTGCAGTCTTCCTTGGCAGGGACTGAAGGCTGGCTCCAAAAAGCAAAAATATCACTCACGCCCCTCCGACTCCGACAAAGATCGATCCCTCCGCATCTCCTCCCTCAGGTACTCTCATTGCGTCTCTATTTTCAAGTTTTGTTGAATTGTATTGCTTGGAAAAAAATAAAAAATTGGTTGTTGTGATTTGAAATAATAGGTCAGCTTCGGTTAGGCTTATTGATGCGAATCAGAACATGGTTAGTTACTTCATCGTTTCCTTTGTTAGGAGTACTTAATGTTCCAATTCCATCATGAATCATTTTCGATTTGTAGGTCGGAGTTGTGTCTAAGATTCAGGCACTTCAAATGGCTCAAGATGCTGAACTTGACTTGGTATAATTTTATTTTAATTTTTTTTTTGTTTCCTAAAGGCGTGGTTAGGTTGCACACTGTGTTTGAATAATGCACATGACGGATTCTATATATTTTTGCGGTTATCTGATTCCCTCTTCGGTGGATTTTCTGGGAGGATGGGGGAGCTCTTCTCTACTGGCATTTTTTTCAAACAGTTAAACTTGAATAATAGGCATGAATTTCTGTGGCCTTGTGTGTCCAGTGGTTACTGCCATTGAATTCCCGGAGTCCATTGGTGATATGAAGTTGAGAAATATTTAGGGAAAGAATTTCCTGACAATTTAGTTAGACTAATTGTCTTCATAATCAACCATATCGCTTATGCCTCATGTTCGAACTCTAGACACATCATTATTTGTATCTTCAACATTTTCACTATTTTTTAACATTTTTTGGTAAATCAGAACAGCTGAGAACGCCGCTTGTTTGTTTTGGATTTTGTCTTTGACTGATCATCTTGGAATGCGTAAAAATCCACCAGTACTGGCCGTGTCTTGCAACTGAGAACTGCAAATCAACTTCTGACAAATCTCAGTGATCTCCCCTATTATGCTTCTTCCTTGGTAAAGTTCCCTTTTACCTACTTTCATTTATTGAAGACTTAGAATGATATCTATGCTTCGATTTCCGGTACGTCTTTTTTATTTATTTGGCCTAAAATTTCAATTGTTTTCCATTTTGAAGAGGGTCTGGCCGGTCTGCATTTCAGGGTGTTAATGTTATTCTGTTTTTACTAGCTTACTGTAGTGTCATGTATAACTTAATGATGCTTTCCATTAGAATATTGTGATAATCTTAATAAAACTTTTTTTGTAAATAAAAGTGTAGAGAATTGTGGATGTAAATATTATTAACTTTATGATGGATGTAAATATTATTAACTTTATGATTTTATTTAAGAGTTATAATTTTTAAAAAATAATTATAAAATAATAATAGTAATAATAATTAAGCGTGATTCTTTCAAGTCAACTATTTTTATCACAATTCTATTTTATTATTATTTTCATCTAAACAAATACATGGATTTCAATTTAGGTAGGTGTACTATTTTGTCTTATTGTTATTAGTTATTACCTCACCACTTTAATTTTGATATGAATTGTCACGACTTTCACTGTTGATTGTCCATTTATTAGCTTTTAATGCTTATCACAGGGGCATGCTTTTAACTTATATTATTACAAATATATGGGATTTGGATGGTGCTGCAGCTGAGTGTGGCACAAAACTCTATATATCTAACTTGGATTATGGGGTTTCCAACCAAGATATTAATGTATTATTAATTTTAGTAATGATAATAATAATAATTATAGTTATTTTCAGAGTTTACTTTAAATGTGTTATGATCCATTTCTCTTTGTCGGTGGGCTTATAAGAGCTTTTTTTAGTGAGGAATGTTCAATTGGTTTCATTAACTTTATTAAATTAAATATCATTTCTGATCACAACCCCGTCGATCTGGTTTTTTTAATTTGGGCCACATCTCAGTTTTTTTTCCCCTTGTTTGGGGTACATCAAGGAGACATTAATATAATTTGAAACTAACATGTACCCAAGTCCCATCTCACCCCAACCACTAATGTTACACATCCAAAAAAAATAAAAATATGTAACCTTATTCTTTGTCAGTCCAATAATGTAAAGAGTTGAATCCTCTTGCCTGCCTTTCTCAGCTGCTGTTCTCGGAAGAGGGTGAGTTGAAAAGGTACTCCATTCATTAAGACAAGAGTGGGAGATCAAAGGGAACAATAGAAATTTTTTTGGAAACAGTTTAATCATCAAATCACAACAAAGATGCAAAGGCGCATCTATGGCCATGCAACTGATGTTGAGATTCGCCCTTTGAACGAGGAAAAAGCAGTTCAATCTGCTGTGGACCTTATTGGAGAACTCTTTGTCTTCACGGTAATATGGATTTAGATGTGCAATTTTCTAAAGCTGTCAATGAGACCAGTCCCAATAAAGACATCACATTCTAACTCTGGAAGCTATATCTTGGTGAATGGCAACACCCTCATGGAAATCTAAAGCACCAGTACAAGCCTTCAAAACGAAGGTAAATGTGTACTTGTCTGGTTCAAGTCCCATTTCTAACATTATATGATAAAATTTTATTGCTTTCTGGAATCGGTGAAGTCTAGAATAAGCTCTAATCATAGAATTCCACAGAATCAGAGATGGGTTAGTGATAGAATTGAATGTTGATTGAGCCAAGCTACATTGGTGGAAGAAAGAGTACGAATTGATGAGATGGGCAGTGATGGAATGATGATGTTGTTGGAGTCCTGAGACAATCAAACGGGCATGGATTTGAAGCAGAGGGTTCAAGTGTTTGCATGAACGAAGAAGGTGATGGTAATAGCTGTGGTGGTGGCAATGTTGTGGAATATTATTGGGGGATGAAGATGGAGTTTGAGAAATTGCAGAGGCATGGGCATGGTGAGTGTGGAGGAACCTATGGTTGTGAAGTGAAATTCTCTATGAACACCCAGCAGAAATTTTACTTGTATAGTTCACTAATTGTTTCTTTTTAAGAAAGATTCTGTCTATAGAATCATTGGTAATGATAATAGAGCATTTTTGTCATATGCAGAGGAATAGTGCAAGCAGGAGAACCTTTAATGGCTAGCAAAGTTGAAAACAAAGAAGGAAGTAACACATTCATGCCTGAATTTAGAGGGAGCAGGTCTACCCCACGTGGAAAGTTTTTTGGTTTATCTTGAGGATTTCATGTTAAACAAACAGCAACAGTTTTTTTTTTATTATTAATTATTTATTTTTGTATAGGAACTACCTCTGATGTTGGAGTTCCATCTCACATAGTTTTATACAAATTTTTGAGGTCTTGAGGTTAATTTGTGCGACCATTCTCTTGTATTTAAGCATGCTTTGTAATTTAGAACTTCTTTTATCAATATATATTTCTTCAGTCATTGAGTTTTCTAGTGAACACTTTTTTATTGAGAAGGTATTTACCATATTTTCCAAAGAAGTTGCCAGTTAAAAAGTTATATTAATTGAAATCACCAAAAAATTTAATTAAAAAAAAAATGGGCTATCAAAAACAAATAAATAAACAAAAAAACAGAATTACATGATTTAGCGGCGGTTCTAAACCGTCGCTATTAATAAAAAAAATTTATAATTTTTTGTAATTGGTGGCGGTTTCTATGCATTCAGCGTCGGTTTTATATTTAGCGTCGGTTTTATATTTCGGTGGTTGCATTAAACCGTCGCTAAATTATTCTACGTCGCCAGTTTCTGAGTCGGTTTTTAATTGGCCACCGAATATTTTAGTGGCGGTTTGAACCGCCGCTAAATCCAAAAAAAACCGCCGCTAAACCCCGCTTTTGGTGTAGTGGACAGTGATTATTCCGTAACAAAGTCACATATTAATATGCTTCGACGGTTTCGTTTTTTCTTGAAATACAACCTCTAAAATCCAAAGGCAACACATGACTCACATTCAATAGAAAATCCACGGACATGAGCTGTCTTGTTCTTCTTTCAAGAAAACCAAGACGAGTAAACTCTCACCATCTCTTCAACTACAAGGGTCAAGTTTATGAATGCTTGATCTATTATTGTCTAAGGCAATAAGGTTGGATTCCCCACTCTATCTATGTCTCATAGGCTTACAAACCCATTTGATCAGACCAAATCTTTACAACTGGGTCGATCATGTGATCTTTCTCTACACAAGCCTGGAACCGTCTTGGGTCAGAGCATCTTACAGTTGAGCCGCTTTATCCCATGGGTCTTCGATGGAACGCGATAAGGGGTGTACCTGCAAGACACTCTGACTCTCAATTCAGATATGGTTCAAGCAGGTTTAATTATGTAGGAGAAGATATGTATCTTAGTGTTAATAGGTATGTATTTATAGTGGAGAGATGAGCAGCTTGGGGAGATGTTACTTAGTGATCAGGTTTGCTTTGTCTTGGAGGCAAAGTAATAGAGCTGCCATGTTTAATGTTGAGGAGCTTGCTGTCATGGAGTCTTTAAGGTTGTGCTGCTTCCTGTGATAGCCTTTAATATTGTGTAGCTAGATGGCTGTCATGGAGCTTTTAATATTATGGAGCTTGCAGCCTTCTTGGACTAAGGCTTTGCTTCATTGTAAAGGTTTTAATTCTGGGCCTTGTATTTGTATAATATTTATCCAGATCAGAATCCCCCCAGCTCGGTGCTTATTGCCGAAGGCATGAGGAGCGAGATGTAAAAATGCATTGCGCTTGTTCCTTTATCTAGGACTATGGTCTGTACTTTGTATGAATACTTGAGAGTTTCATAGTTGTATCCTGCAGTTTTATACAGTTCATAATTCATAATGCATATATTTTGCGTACCTTTGTTATTGGCATGTTGTCGAGATGTAATGACGTATGCCAGATGTATCGCGCTTTTAGGAAGGAGTTTGACCCTAGGTGGGGTTCATCCTGCCTTGTATCGCGCTTGATCATGGAGGATCACGATAAGACTTGGAGGATCGCGAAGTGGATAGTTCTGATCCGTTGAAAGGATCCTTGAGAGGAGTCCTGTTGCTTAGAGGATTCGTGAGAGAATCCTTTTATCTGATAGGATCCATGGGAGGATTCATGTTATTTGGAGGATTCGTGAGAGAATCCTTTTAGCTGATAGGATCCATGGGAGGATTCCTGTTATTTGGAGGATTCGTGAGAGAATCCTTTTAGCTGATAGGATCCATGAGAGGTATCCTATTAATTGGAGGATTCGTGAGAGAATCCTGTTACTTGATAGGATCCATGAGAGGTATCCTGTGAATTGGAGGATTCGTGAGAGAATCATGTTACTTGATAGGATCCATAAGAGGTATCCTGGGAATTGGAGGATTCATGAGAGAATCTTGTTTGTTGATAGGATCCATAAGAGGAATCCTGTTACTTGGAGGATTCGTGGGAGAATACTGTTATTTGATAGGATCCGTGAGAGGAATCATGTTACTTGGAGGATCCTTTGGCGGAATCCTGTTATGTTCTTCATTGCGCTTTGGCTTGGAGGACTTTTCTTCTGTTTGGTGAAACCTGTAATTTCCATTGATCTCACAGAATAATAACATTATATCATGGAGATGATAATTGTAATAAAATCATGTTAATGTTGGAAATAATCAAGTGTGAGTGAGTAGTGGTGAAGTAAGTTCCATATAGGTTAGACATAGACCAAGTGATGACCATATAAGTGCAAAAAGACCCATAAACCTATAGCCTTAAGGTTTTGGGTTGAGATGTGGTGTCGGCCCACTTATTATGGTTTGTCATTTGGCTCATTGGTGCATGTACACCCTTTGCAAAGGGTTTTGGGCTCCCTCGTTCCATTCCCAACAGTTAAATCAGTTCAAAATAATAACGTTGTTGATAGGAAATGTAGCATTTGATTTTGAGTTTGTCTGCGTTGCACGCGAGATTTTGTCTTCGCCAGTCATGGAGCCCGTTGTGCACCAAGTATGGCCCCTTGGTCTGGTACTTGATAAAAACTGCGGTTGACTGCAAACGTGGTATTTTCACAGTGGGATTGTAAAAGTAACTTCCAGTGCGCGATGTCTGGCTTCCATGGCGGGATAGATAACTTCTTATTGCGCGATTTATAAGTAATATTAGATACATGTATAAGCCTATCATGAGATAAATACACAACTGTACCCAAGTTAATCCTCGATACTGACGCGATCAGCAGCACTAGAGTTTGTATATCACTTGATAAAAGATAACTTAATGCTGGTGCTGTAATTTTGATAACCATGATCTTTAATATCCTAGTGTGGATAAAACTTACCAAATCTGGGAGATGTATTTTGGGCCTGTTGGAGCTATGTGCACCAGGTCATGAGATAAATATCATGTCCATCATGTTGTAGATAAAGCTATGTTGGAGTTTTCTATGTACACTAGAGTTTGTATTTCTCTCTGGGAGATAACTATGTCCATCATGTTGGAGCTATGTACATCAGCTCCTTTTGGTAAAATTTTCGCGCAATGGTCATCGTAAGCTTACATATATATAAGAGAGCATGTCGCTGTAATTGGAAGGTGTGTCCTTAACTCGGTTGAACTTGAAACCGTAGGCTGTACATAGAGGTTACTGGTACAGGGAACTTTCCTCCTAAATACACGTGTACTGTACCTTCAGTTACCAGCTTCGTTAGAAGGCTTTCACATGCCTAAATGGTTTGAGAACCAGGTGTAGAAAATAATAAACCTCCAATATGACCTGCAACTTTCATGGTACAACATTCTAATTCACAAAAGTCCGATATCTTCTAGCCTTCGCCTTAATCGTGCTTCATAAAATAATAATATGCAAGTGTCCATCGTGATCAGAAGGAAGATCACTGCAAACCGGTTTTGCTAAGTATATTATGTATCATCGTAATCGAAGATAAAGTATATCCCACACACCTTGCTATGTATAATATTCGATTTCTGTTTACTGCATACAGTGCAGCGTTATGTAGCATCATGAATGTGCGCAATGCTAAAGCATGGTGTTATAATACCCTTAACCGTTTTCATATCCTGAGTACAAAACCTCACTGCACGATGTGAACTTAACCTCTCGTGCAGTATAATGGCAAATGATACTCCTATATGTTGGGTATGACAGCAACCAACATGATGTTTTATCAACATGTGAGAGTGTGAGACACATATGTATGGGTGGATTATATCAAGCTGCGCCATGTACGATTGCGCCATGGTAAAACCTCGAAGATCCAATGAAAACTTTAACCAATATATAAATCTGCTCAGTAGTTTGAGTGGTTCACAGTGAAAAAGTTTTATCAAGCCCAGTAACTTTTATATCTGAGGCGGCTCTTCACTTTGCTCCAACACAGTGGATCCATAGTGGTAGTCGATATATACTCATTTGGCAGCTTATCGCGCTAAACAACTATAGTGAAACCTTGATTTTTATCGCGCTCTTCCTATCTATAATCAACTATACGTGTATAAGGCATGCTGATGCCATGCGTACCAAAGCTTTTTATGAAGCTACCAATATGTGGAGTAAAAGCTATTAAAAGCTTTATTCAATATTGTGAATTCCAATACCACATTGCGCCATTCAGTACCCCATCCGTTCTGGTTTGCAGCAGAATTCCAGTATCCCATCCTTTTTTCTGCGCGATACTTTGTAATAGTCTCGTTCCAAAGGGTATTATGTCAAAATGGCCCTTCGGTAGTTGTATAGTCATCTTGCCAGTAAAAAAGTTTGAAAATCATTTTGCGCAATATCTCTATAAAGATGATATTCACTGCCTACACTGATAAGAAATATCAGTGTATAAACGTCTCTATCAGTTTATCGAATATTCTAATCCGCTTGAGATGTCCTTACGTTCTCTATTTCTTTTAATCAAATAGGAACTAGGTCTGAAGAGCTAAAGTTCTTAATGCCCTTAAATGATGGGAGTGGATCCTCTCATGTGGAAAAGTGGTCATGTGGTCATCTTATTTGATCACAACCACTCATTTAAAAATTATATACTTTTCTCTCTCTTATTTCATCATCAATGAACGATTATGATCAAATAACATGATCACTTTTTCACATAAGAGGATCCACTCCCTTAAATGATAGGTAGCGCCTTTAAAGGATACTGGGCGTCATGATTGTGGTTTTGTCTTTAGTGGATGTTGTACCCACCTCGGATAGCATGTAATGAAACACCAATCTACATATATCATAGCGCATACGTTGATGTAATGGATTGAAAGTTGCTTTAGCATCGCGCTGTAGCACCGCGAGGTTTAACTGAAAGATCTCATAGTAAATATAACTATGGATTGAAAATAGGTTTAACTTTTGAAGCATCCAGACCTATTGGTAGCACGGCGCACTTTTGAAGCATCGCGCTATGATATGGGAAAGGAATAGCTATTGTGGTATAAT